TTATGTTATCATTACTAGTTCCACAATTAATTTTATTTTGCTTTTGGCCTTTTTCGATTTTCCTAGTGAATTTTATAGGATAGTTAGTTATTTAACACCAACGCTTCTTCTGCTGTCTGTTTTATTTTGTCATTTAGGTCTTTTTTGTGCTACTTAGTGCTATGGCTCGGTTTGTTAGACAACTTAACTAGGTCAGCCTTCACAAACAGACAACAGATGAGATGAATTAAAGTCTAAATATCTATTAGAACTGTAATTGATCAATAACAGTCGTATTATTATTTCTGAATGTACATTATCCCATATTGATTTTTATTCAAATATCTAATCATGAATTCCACACATGTATATAAATGAAGGAAAAAAGTTGTGTGAGTGAGTGACTTGATATGATTATGAGTGGCAATAGTTTGTTCTCGAAAGGTGGTCATCAGTTAGTATTACTATACAACAACACTGTGTGACTTATCAAAATAAAATCTTATCTATAATGGAGTTATACTCTACCAGCACAGTGGCCAAGTTTTATACGTATATCAGTAGTGGTCTCACCTTACCATACTCCTAAGGTGGCTGACTAATCATCAACACATGTTAATACTCTGAGAATGGATGTTATTCGATAAATGGTTGGAGGCAAACAACTACAGGGAATCCTGTGGTTGGATCTAGTTAGGAGATAGGCTTTCGTGGTTTTTTTGACACTGGTTAGTCAGTCAGTCAGTCAGTAGGGCATATCGTCGGTGGCACAGCGGTTAAGACGCTCGCCGACCATGCACATGGTCCGGGGTTCGATCTCCCGGCCACAGACGCACTGCTCTACCTCGCTAAGCCAGTAATAGAACTGGGAAAGAGGGAAGACTTGGCATGAGGCTAGCAACCCCATCCTGTAAAAATAAACACCACTGCTACAGAAACGCCAAGCTTTTAGCTTGGAGCCCTATGTTCCACGGGGAACGTGAAGGAATGAAAAAAACAAAAAGCATATCTTTACAATGTGGGAGGAAATCATGCCCCTCCTGAGATTAGTTACTACCGAATATTCAATCAGTGTATTCATTCAAACAGTTTTACAGGCGATCCATGGTGAGAGTCAGAATAACTCGGTGGTAATGTTTTTAAACGGCATCAACATTTATGGTTTGCTGGATTTTCATCATGAGCTGACATCTGTTAGAGAACCATTGGAAAACCTGCAAGGAGTACTGGACAGCTTTTTTTGGGACTCCTCAGTAGTACGTAGCCACTAACAGGAGGTTCGAACCCAGGACCTACTGGTTACAAGGCTGGTGAGCTCGGAGATCATTAGGCCACTGGGACCCGATCCAATGGCCCACGAATTCTAACTTCTGCCAACTCACGACATAGCGCGACCCCAGCCAATGTCTTCGACTGGGTTCGAATCCCGGTGGATGCGTAATGATGAAGAGTCTCAAACTAGGACGAAACATCTGTCCAGTAATCCTAGGTTTTCCAATGGTTCTCCAACTAATGTCAGCTCATGATGAAAATCCTGTAACCAATCAAATCCCTACAAACCAACACTTGAATATTTATAGTTTGATCAGGCTTCGAATCTCACACCTTACTAACTAACTGGTGAGTCCCAACAGGCAGGCAGGACTTCCAGCAAATTAACTTGAATACATACATATATATATATATATTCCTTTTACGTTCTGAATGGGACAATTGTTTTTCAAACCTAAAGTAATGAAGTTACAGTGTAGTGAAATCAAGCTGCAAGTCAAAAACTGTAGACAGTAATTTGCGTCAATGTTTACGTCCCGAATCAGGGTCATGGGATAAAACAATAAAGAGGCCTAACCTTCAGGAACTCAACAACCAATCAGAGTAAACTTAACGTGTGTAAACACGATTCGCAGATTTATATATATATATATATATATATATATATATATATATATATATATATATATATATATATATATATATATATATATATATATGGCTTAACTTTCTAAGAAATGGTCACAAGCAGTACAGAATAACCTTCAGCAAGACAAACGACCAATCAGAAGACGTTGACTCTCTGTTAACAATGACGCTAATTATAATGTACATAAAAATCTACAAATATCTCTTGATTTTCTGAATAATCGATTCGTTGCCTGGCCCTTGTATCTTCTGTCGGTACAACAGTAGCTATGGGGTTGTGTTTTTATGGGGTTAGGGTCGCTAAGTTTACACTCCACACCTTCCTTTACTGCTGGCTAAGCCAGGAGTCGAAGCTGAAGAACATATGCTTGGTTGGCAAGCATTCAACTGCTGAACCACTAATGTGTACTTAAGCGTAAAATCATATACACACATCATCACTCTTATACAGAATGCATTTACAATACTGGTAAAACTCAATGTAGTTGGCTGTGTTATGTGAGCTGCATAGTAATGTAAGATAAGATAAGATAAGCTTTATTCCAAATCAGTACTTGTGATACAGAATGGAATTCTCAGCATTTTACTACAATATTGCATCCAGTTGTTACATTAACAATAAATATAGTTCTACATAGATTAAAGTTATCTCAGTCAGTTTTGACAACAACATATTAGCATGTCGGTAGCAAAGCCAAAATTTAAAGTGTTTGAAGGTGTTAGAAAAGTAGATACTACTAGCATATTTACTGGCGTAAGCGATAGCAAAATGGTCGAGATATACAGAGTGTGAAAAAACGAACATGAATAATTTAGGTAGAGTTTGCAAGGAAGAGAGAAACAAAACAGCATATAACAAAAATAAATACAGAATGAAGAGAGAGAAAACGTTGTACCTATAAATGATGTGAGTTGGAAAGACGAGATCCAGTTGTTCTACTGACTATTTAATAAGTTAAAGGTTTCACGCCTAATACTTTCTTTATCGCACAGAACACGAGCTAGGTAGGGTATGGATGAGTTTTTGTACTTACTAGTGCGGGCATATAGTTTCCTATATAGGCTTCTGGTTTTCCCTGAAGAGATACATGGGGAGAGTTGTGAATGAAGAGGGTGTTGTGAGTCAGATAAGATGGATTTCGCTGTACTTGAAAAGCTTTTATTGTCTTGTAGTAGATGGAGTGGATTTAATGAAAGACTATGAGGACAGATAGCCAAGACGAAAAGACACTGGAAGATTTGAACTTTGACGATGGCTCATATCTAATGTTTCACAAACTTGAAGAACTATAGATAACAATGAAAAACTTGGCAGGACAGACTTCAAATGAACATAGAGAAGACAAAGGTGATGAATATACTAAACCAATTAAAAACAATTAACAATCACTATCACCGGAAAGAAACCTAAACGAATTCATCTCTTTCACCTACCTGACCTAAGGCAGTATCGTTTCCAACTAGAGGAGACAAGGGGACAAGGATATCCGAACTTTCAACACTATCAGTGTTAGTGCTTTTCTATGCGGTTCAGAGAATTAGTGCGCATGTTATAAAAATACATTTCCAACTGACTTCAACTCGATACTGATCAGATCAACATGGCCGATCAGAAAAGATAATCACGAAAGAACTCTAGCAGTGAAGTGGATTAGATATCCTCTGTTATTAGAAGACGTTTCAGTGACATAACGTGCTAGACAAACCTTTAGAAAGGCTACATTTGCTTTTGGAAGTGAGTGGGCGATTGTTACTTTCAGGCTGTCCACACCGTGGAAGTTGCTTGATTCTTCGGGTCCCTGAAACAGAGAGAGGGTTAGTGTTGCGTGACCACAGAGACCAGGGGACAACTGCTTGAAGTCGGTCACACACGGCCTGCATGAACTGGTTTTTCGGTTTGGTATCGTATTAGTAAACTTACCGCCGGTTACGGACTACCGTAGGGTAAGTCGCTATGTACAGTTTTTAAGGTCGACCTTTTATAACCCCCTCTCTCCTGAGTGGAGAGACAGCATAGTTGGTATGCTGGTCATTTGAGAGAAAAACCTCACTGCTGTTACATTCCCGTTCCCCAGCAGTACGACTTCGCCCACAGACCGCCAGCATAGTGTAAAAAAATTCTTATACTAAGCCGGTAACTGCTTTTAGTCTAATCGCTATCCCAACAACCATCGTGGCATGGTAGGACCTGCAGGAACAATAGTTTCACCCAGTGTAGCTTGTTGGGTGATTGCGATGTGCAAGCCACGTCAATGTAGCAGCTATCGGTCGGATGACAAACCTTCAAGTGGGACCCGAGTCAGAAGCGAAAAGTTTGGCGTTAATTCAAGAGTGAAACAGAGGAGATCATGATAAAGGGAAAATGAAAATCAGATGGGGTAATCGTGGAGCCAGCTAAAAGATAATACAGAGAACAGAGTGACATTGTGGCGAGAGCTGTCTGCTAGCTGAAATTGGTAGACAGTAATTTACGTCAATGTGTTTAAGTCCCCAATATTGGTTAAGTCAAAAATAAGAAAAAAGACTGACTGACTCAACGACTAATCACACAGGACTTTGCGGAGGCGGATACAATTTGCAGATAGATAATCTGAAATTCAAGAAACAGCTACAAAGAGATGAAAGATTAACGTTCAGCGAGAAACCACCACCAATCAGAAGACTGTGTTTGTTTGCTTACAATAATCTATAATAATGTGCATGGAAATCTATAAATATGTGTTGATTTCCTTATTAAACGATTTGTTTCCTGGCCCTTGTCTTCTGTTGTTACAAAATGACAATATGTTGCTGAAATCTTATGCTTTATACTAGGAGTTAAACAAACAAAAAACCGGCAACAAGCAGTCGGTGGTACAGCGTTTAAGACGCTCGTCGGTCATGCACATGGTCCAGAGTTCGATCCCCGGCCACAGATGCACTCCTTTACCTCGCTAAGCTAGAAATAATGCTGGTGAAGCGGAGAGGTTGGGCATGAGGCTAGCGACCCCATCCTGTAAAAATAAACACTGCTACAGAAACTTCAAGCCACTAGCTTGAGGCCCTATGTTCCACTGAGAACATGAAGAAATAAAAAAACAAGCAGTCAAATAGAAACTTACCATTTATATTTCGTGTATTTGATGTTGATAAAAATGTTGGCGTCAGTGTATTATTGCCTGTTGAATTATTATTCACTAGGACGCCTAAATGTCGCATAATACTCATATAAATCTCCTTAGTCAAATTAGGCTCAGGTATCCATTCATTGATAAGGAAGTCGGGAACAGCTTCAGGAGCTATATATTTTTGAAAAATTAAAAAATAAAACATCGTAAACATAAGGACTTTACAAAAATGTACATACTAGTTTCTGTCGACAAAAACGCATCAGGTTTACTCCGTTTCGTTCGACAATCTGGTACGAACTTCTTCAGGGAAATTAATCGAAATTAACATAACAGAGAATTTAATTGAATTTTTGATTTTCCCGTCAATTGATTGGACCGAAGTGCTCGGTCTCAGGTTGAGACATGTCGGCTTCTTGTGCAGATGCTTCAACGATGTCTGGGCATTTAATTAGTATTTAATTGGTGGGTGGTGACTAGCAGTGGAATCCAGGATAACGCGCATTTTGTCCTGTGTCTACCTGAGACCGAGCACTTCGGTCCAATCAATCAACGACGGGAAAATCTAAAATTCAATTAAATAATTAATATGACTCGTTGCACAAGAGGTGGGAACTCTCGTGGCCCAAGCAGTCTAGTGGATAACGACGCTTTGGCATTTGAAACTATGGGCACTGGGTTCGAGCCTCAGTGGTGCGGGAACATTATCACTCACTTAGAAATGCAGGTACATTCAGTGGTTGACGAGTCCCAAATGGGACAGGTGAAATGAGCTTTATCCTGGATTCCACTGCTAGTTACCATCCGCCAATTAAATACTAATAAACATAACAGAGGTTTATGTATAAAAGGAACATTTTTTGTTTTTAAAAACTTTGTCCAATCATATGAATCATGAAACAGGCATCAACATGTATGATAAGCAAAATTGTATGAACTGTGATCAAAATTTGACCTCAGACTTTCAAAATTAGTCTACTTTAGTTAAAATATATGTGTATATGCAGCATACAATGGTGTGTGTTTATGTGTGTGTGGGTGAACAGTCATAAAACATTTGTTACTCTCTCCATAAGAAGACGTAGACAATCGGGAATTTGACCAAGTGTGACTAGCTTTTGATGCATATCCAATTTTTTTAATTTATTAGTCAGGATTTGCCATGCATCAGCTAACATCACACCTTCACGTCTGTTCAAACTGTTGGGATTCACACCCATATATACAGGGCTTCTGCAGTCAGTCTATCTTTATACGAACCAAAACCTTTCTGTAAAACCTTAGTTTTATAAAAGTCGATTTTGTGTCCCGTTTCTATTGAATGTAGTGCAATCGCTGAGTTGTTTTCTAGCTTCTTCAAGTCTGCAGAGATCTTTAGAACTACCTTTTGACACTTTTTATGCTCTTTCACTCTTATATTTATTTACCTGTCTGGAAGTTTCTCCTACATATACGGCGTTACAATCCCCATAAATGATATGGTATACGCAATTCTGCTGAAGTTCGCACCAAATTGCCGAAAGAAACGTTGGAATTAATCATTTCAATTTCGCTGAGATTTTACAAATATACTTTTATAAATATCTACTTCTCACTCGGTGCTAAATTATTTTGCAACTATCCCGTCAAATCTTGATCACAGTTCATATGAATCCGTTTCAAATTGTTTTAGTGATCTAATGACCACGATAAAAACAGAATTTATACTCGTGCGTAATTTCAAAAACAGTTTGTTATACCTAGCGCTAGGGACTTTTCGAAAGAAATGGAGGAGTACTGGAGCAAGATTCGGTGACTCTAAACTATAACAGCCCAAACCGAAACTACCTAGTGAACGGACAAATGACCCTGACAGTGACAACTTTGACCAATCAGAAGCCTCTATGAAAACGGCGCATAATTTTAATAAAACGTTTATATAAAAATAATGCAGTGTTAAAAAGTAGTTATAAAGGATAACGTTCACGTAAATGTTCCAAAAAAACCTCCCAATTTCTCATAGGAGTATTCATAATTATGTTAAACCCAGCTCTGTACATAAACTCATCGAGATAACTGTATGTCATTGCATTTCTTGATCCATTCACAGATCTGATCCGGTTTTTTTTCGAGGTGACTCCAAAACTTTTCAATGGAATTCGTGTGAGTTCCATCGAAAGGCTTGATGAAATTATTTGTATTATTGACGATGTGATGAATATAGCCCAGGGTTGATAGGTGACTGACTATAACCACTCCATTCGCCTATATGAATAGTTATTCCAGACAGCACTACTAAGCGTTGGATAATAGGCAATAAGACATCTGCACTGCGATTGGGGATCACCTCAATGTATCCTTTGTGGAGGATGGTTTCACATATATCCCCAACACCCACTGCTTAATCGCACTCAATCTCCCTCGATTATATATTTTCGTTTTATCAGCACTATCTCATCCAGGTGAACAATGACGTCAACTCCGCCAAGTACTTGGAGTTAGCCTGTTCATTCTCCATGATGTTATGTTACGCCTCTGCAGTACTGGTACCATTGCACTGCAGACACTTATGAATTTTCTGTTTTATAGGCTGTTGTTGTTGTGACTGGTCTTTTAAGCACCCAGTTATGACACATCATTTAAATGTTCGTTAGAGGTAATTTAGACTTGACGAAAAAAGTACCTAAGGAATCCGTAAACTTTCTTGTTCGGCACTCATCGCACCAATAAACAAAACCATCAATGCACCTTGTGCATCTTTGTATATACATAACACCTCCACCACATTCACACTTTTTCAACCTTCCCATCAGGCTGTTCTCCAAACAGTAATCAAAAATAAGATCTGTAGAGAATCTGCACCCCAAAACGTGTATAGCATACATAAGTACGCCTGGATAATACGGAGTTACCTGATTGGGTGCTCAAGGTCACTGGTCCGTTCGCTAGGTAGTTTCGGTTTAGCTGCTATGGTTTCGAGTCACCCAAGATGCTGTATTATGCATAAACGCATTTTTCAGAATTAAGCTATTATTATTGTGTCAACTACAGGAAGTCGGAACGGACGAGGATGTCAAATCGAGCGAGAATCGGGAACACATCGGGGAGAAACACATTCATTAACCAATCTAGAAATCTTCGTCACTCAGCCAGCGTCAACAACAAAATTCGGTCGGATTTTCAATACAAACATCGTCAAGTCAGTCAGCTCTTCTTTCTATACGGATAAGAAACTTGGCGGGCCGGTCACAAAGAACAGCCTGTTGCAGACCACACCTTTATCAATAACAACTGTCTTCGCTGGCTCTATAATGAAGATCAGATGGCCGGGCCGGAAACAATCACCAACAAGAAATTATGGGCACTAACAAACAAAACAAGAACCAATCGCCAACCAACAAATATGCAGGGGAAAGTGGAGATGGATGGAGAAGGACACTCACTGAGGAGGCCGCCGCTGGGTGACATTGCGCGCGCGTCAGGCTATTTCTCGAGTGGAACCCCGCCGAAAGGGAAGCGGTGGCGAGTGGGACGTCAATCCAAGGTTGACATGCAGAAGATCGTGTGAAGAGGAGGAGGAGGAGGATTTGAAACAGTCAGTATGGACTAACATGGATGTAGGTGAAAAGTACAGCAGAAGGAAGACAGAAGTGGCAAGTGGAGACGTGCAGTTGAAGCCCTATGTTCCACTAAGAACCCAAGGGAACAATTATTATTAAAAGTGTTATTATTATCATATATAACTTCGCATAGTTCACTAGACTGCCTGTCCTAAGACCAAAAACGGAGGGAAGGTTGAACGCCAAAAATACCGACCTAACCCAGAAAATAAAGCGAACTCCTCACCATTGAAACTCCAAATCACAGGAAAAACAAACAAACTTATTCTTCACTGGAATCACAAAGGTACCTCTCAACTGAAGAGTGACAACAACGCTGAAGGAAAGTTCAAACACAAAAGTAAGCCTAGAGAAATAGTATCTCCCCACACCATGTTACAGACTGATGAGGGTGCTAAGACTGCAGCAGGAGAAATAAGTAGGTATGGTAGGTAGAGAAGTGCTACGAAATCCGTGAGAGCAGGTTGAATGCAAATAAACTCTCAGAAATTGTTAATTCAGCAGATCATCCATCCACACGACAACCACGTGCACACTCTATAAGGTGTGGTTTTCATGATCTCACGAACAGCGGTAAAATAAAGACACCCATCCTCACGCATGAAAAACGAATCTCATTCAGGCGACATAACAGCAAGAAAGAGATTGTATGATAAGGAAGAGAATGCTTATGGGCAATTGTTGAGGGGCAACTAAAACAATCAGACTAACACACATTGATTGCACTGTATAGACAGTTTGAGGGATGAAATTTTCAGCACACAGTTTCTTTGTGGAAGTCAAACCATTCAGAGATCACAAAATCTGTGATCTGCAATAATCAAAAAAAAAACAAGCAATTTGCATCAAAAACTCTGGACTACTGATTTATTGATTGATTGAGATCAATAGTAGTTGTATACCACTCATATATCAACAGGGGTACTCCTTGCTAATCTAAACACCAGACGTCCACTTCACTCACATGAAGTCAAGAGCTGTGGTGAAAATCTCATCCTCTCTCGAACTGCGTACATTGCAAATTGCAAATTTAATTTGGTATGGTATGACCAGTTTACCCAAGTGTAGCTAGCCAAATTTCGGGTGTGGTTTGAAACAGATTCAGCTTTCTTCTGAGCTGAGTTATTAAACCGGACGATACACCAGTAACAGATGAGCTCGGCCCAAAACCAGCGAAACGGCTGCCCGGTGTGTAGATTAGCGAGAAGTACCGGCTGAAATGAGTACTATACAACAGCTACTACTCTTCTCAATCAATCAGTAATATATAGTCTTGATTGGACACTAGTAACTAGTGTGACGTGTCTAGTCCTTTCTTTGATGCAGACTGAATTCTATCAGTCAGGTTTTGCACTGTTGCCACCATTCTAGATAGACTGATAGAATTCAGTCTGCACCAAAGAAAGGACTAGCCAGACACATCACACTAGTTACTAGTGTTCAATCAAAATACCTACGACTGTCCTACAGGAGGTAATCGCGAGCCTGAATAGCTTAGTGGTAACGTCTCTGATCGTGGCACTCACTGGGTGACACGGGTTCGAATCTCAGAATGAGGGACATGAGTTCCTTCAGGGTTGCAGATAAGCTCTGCTGATGAGTGCCAAATAGCACGGAACCTAGGGTCCAAGGCTCCCTGTGGCCGATTGCCTCCAACTATATAATATCATCAAATATATAGTTTTATCCAACTAAAAAAGACTGTAGTGAACAGAGTGCAATATATGTATATATATATATATATATATATATATATATATATATATATATATATATATATATATATATATGAAGTTCTTCGATGTTCCACTCAGAACTCTAGGGAATAATAATAATAATAACAGTAACAATAAAATTATATAAACTTACACAGATCAACATGAGATAATCCAAGACTAAAGGCATATTCTTCATGAGCAGTTTTTAAAAAGTCTCTTGACAGTTTAATCCCACCATAAGGATTAAAAGTTGACGAATGATTGTCATCTTGACAACAAAGTGGTTCACTACTGCTACTAACTAACGAAAGATCAATAGGATTATCTTCTTGTCGAATGGAATGTGCTTCTTCATTAGTAGTGGTAGTAATAGTAGTAGTAGTAGCAGTAGCCGTGTTATTGGTACTGGATGCAGAACAGACTGTGGTGGTCGAATGTAGCGAAGATGTTGATGGACACGTGAATGACAAGTGTTCATCAGAGGATATTTTACTTTCTACTACTATACATTGATTTGTTTCACCTGCTTCACGTTGATTGATTCTTTCGGAGGTACGATTATCCAGGATTAATGTTGTTGCCCATGAAACATCATCGTGTGCAAGAGATAAAAATTCTGCTAGTATGTCTGATTTCAGATTAGGAAAAATACACATTAATTCACCAAGTTTACCATAAGATGTTGATGGTTGTGGTTGTTCTTCCTCTTTTTCATGTTGTAGTTGTTGTTGTTGTGACGAAGAGTTCGTCTCTTTGACTAATGAACTCGTCGGATAGTCAACATCTAAGCAAAAACAAAAACACAAATGAAATTTAATTTCTGTTAGTTACAAACTACTTTAGATTATTTTTACGAGTTGATCACAGACTGATTGTCAGTTTACGTCGACTCTGGCGTAGACGAGATGTTCGACTATCGACCAAAGGGCGGGTGTACTGCTCATCAGTCCGCTCCGTCCTCCTTTATGGTTGTGAGACCTGGCCATTGAGATTGGAAGACATGAAAAGACTAGCTGTCTTTGATCATAGGTGCCTGCGCTCTATTTCCCGTGTAAAGTGGCATAATAAGGTGAGCAACATTGAAGTTAGGCGTAGAGTTCTAGGTAAACAGGAGAAATCAATCGACGAAGTCGTGAAGCTACAAAGACTGAGATGGTTAGGACATGTGTTACGTATGCCAAGCCATCGACTCCCTCGACGAGCAATGTTAGCGGATATAGGGTCAGGCTGGAAAAAAGCTAGCGGCGGTCAAACAAAAACTTGGCCAAACCAGTCAATGAAATCCACAACAGTTGGTCTAAGCCACGTAGGAAGGTGTATACTTCTTGGCTGGTTGGGGTCCTCGGGACGGTAAAAATCTATGGTTGGAAACAATTGGTGACATGGCTCAAAATCGTTCTCAGTGGCGCAGATGCATCCACTCCTTATGACTTATGATCTCCAATGAAACTGTTTTGTTTTTCTTTATTACTCCTTTGTCTCACACCTCTGCTCACTGTTTCTATTATGCTTTTCTTGTACTTTCCTCTCTTGCTTCGCGTGCTACACGGAGTGTGGCGACTTGAACTTCCGCACATTTGTGCAAAGTTCTATGTCGAAAACAGACAGACAGACAGACAGATATCAGTTACAGAACCATTGAAAACCAGCCACAGGGAGTACTGCCAGACAGCTGCTATTTCATCCTAGTTTGGGAATCATCGGCACTACGCAGCCATCACAGAAAGTTCGAACCCAGGACCTTTCGGTTACTAGCCAAGCTGGCTCGTATACCATTCAGCCAGCCACTGGGACGCGCCCAATTCAATAGCCGCCAGCCCATGAATTCTAACTTCTACCAATTCGTGATTTAGCGCGACCCCAACCATTGTCGTAGGTGGAACATCCATCCTCACACGTGACAGACATCTGGATGGAAATCACTGGTCACGACTTCTCACTAGAACTCCTTCCAGGAAACTCCATCCTTTAGCAAGTCACTAGCGAGCATCAGATTAATTTTCTATAGTTTGGTTTGTAAGGGCTAGTTATGTTTTTTCCGAGTTGATCACGAATTGATATCAGTTAGAGAACCATTGAAAACCAGTCACAGGGAGTACTGCCAGACAGCTGCTGTTTCATCCTGGTATGGGAATCATCGGGAGTACGCACCCACCACAACTAGGTTCGAACCCAAGACCTTACGGTTACAAATTAAAAGTCAATCTGAACGAAGAATATTCTTTTCAATAATTTATCCTCTTCAGGTTCTTACCATCATAAAATATAATATTTGTGGTCGTTGCAATAATGATAGGCAGTTATCCGGCGGATACATTTTTTAACGTAGAATAACAGATTAGCAGTTATGGGGTGTCAAAATAAATAGTCGTATTTGTGTGACAAACGTCGTGCTAGGCTGAGATCGATTACAAAATATTGTGAAATGGGAGACAATGGTGGTGGCTAATCATAATAGATTCGTAGACTCTATGATACGAAAACCGACAAGTCAGGTCAAGGTTATAAAAAGGTGTCAGGTGAGTGGAGTGGCTAGTACAAAGTGGTATGCATTAAACAGGAGATAGTAAGACTGCAATGAGAGGTTGTTCATAAATGAAATAACGAATGTGTTAAATGAAACAAGTGGAGGAATATACTGAAAAAAGAGATAATATCACTAACAATAAGTTCGGATAGTATAGATAGAAAATTCGATAGTCTTGACGGAATGTTTGAATTAAGGGCATAAATTATGACGAATAATGATAATAATTGTTCAAAACAATTAGTTCCCCTTATGAATTTAGATAAAGCAATGAGAAGACGTAATTTGTCTCAATCGCGTGTTGTATTTATTTGCAGGTATATCATTCCGTGATCAAACTTCAATCCAATCAAATTGCTACAACCTAACACTTGGAAAATTATCTGATGCCTACTGGTGACTAGCTGCTATATTGGGTGAATTTTTCCGCAGCTCTCCAGTGTGAGAAGCTCTGACCAGTAGGATCCATCGGGTTGGATGTAAAGGTGAATACTAGTCGATGACATTGGTTAAAGACTGTGGTGCTAAATGACAGAGGTTAGAATTCATGAAGCATTGGACTGCGTCCGTCCGAATGACTGAACAGTCAACGGGCTGGCCTTCTAACCCAAAGGGGCTAGGTCAATTCGTGGTGGTGGTATCATGGGTACATATACTCCCTATCTATCTTTTAGCTAGGACCGCGTTAACTCCTGGCTTAAAAATAAGGAGTGAATTGGTAAAGCGTATTGACCACGTCATTTATTTGAGGAGTTGAAGCATCTCCAACGGGTTGACCACTGAAAAAATCTCGACACAGATACAGGAAGCTCGTTTGGCATATACCAACATACTCCAGCTCTAGTTTAGTAGACGTGATATCCGGCTGCCTATCGATCAAAGGACGTGTATACTGCACAACACATTGCTCCGTCCTCCTTAATGGTTATGATTGAGACATGGCCATTGAAAGCGAAAGATATGAAGAGGTTAACTAGCTGCCTTTGATCATAGTTGTCTCCCTTCTATCTCCAACGTTAAGTGGTATATATCATAGGGTGAGTAATATTGAGGTTAAGCGTAGAGTGGTAGTGTTAGGTGAGGAGGGGAAATTAATCGATTGAGCTACATTGACTGAGATGTTTAGGATATGTGATACCCATCCAACCCTACACCATCGATCGCCTTCCTCGACGTCAAATGTCACCTGACATAGGGTCAGGTTGGAATAGCGTTAGTGGTGGTCAGACCGAAACACGGATTCATCAGTCAGTCAAATCCACAACACTTAGTTTATCCAGCCACGTACGTACGGGGCTGTAGACTGGCCTCCTGGTTCAAGTCTTCGGAATGATAAAAACCAATGACGGCTGGAGACAATTGGTGGTATGGTATGGCTCAAAGTCGTCGTTGTCAATGGCTAACACGCAGATGCATTCACAGCCTCTGTGATTCTTCATATTCAATAAGACTTTACTGTTCTTCAGCATTACTATTCTTTCCCCTCACTCACACTTGTGTTTGATATCTCTATTTTGATGAATCTGTCTTTACTGTCTTGTTGTCTTGCTTTGTGTTCTACAAGGAGGGAGTGTGTGAACTCGAAGTGCTGGACTTGTGTGCGCAGTTCTATGTTGAAGCCAGTCAATCAGTTAGTCATGGTGTTGAGAGGTGCTGTTTGGAGGACGAAACAGCTGTTCAGTATATCCCGGTGGTTTTTTATAGTTTTCCCCAGGCAATGTGACCTTCAACAATTAATCACATTTACAGATAGTATAACCGAATCAAATTATGCCTTCTATTGTGGATTTGTTTGACAAATCCCAAAAATTTAAAACAATTAGTTCCTTTTGTGAATTTAGATAAAGCAATGAGAAGACGTAATTTGTCTCAATCGCGTGTTGTATTTATTTGCCCAACACAAACCGAACAATCTGATCACACACACACACACGGACTTGTCATAGGAATACATATGCATGAAATTAATAAAGAGTTAAGAGGTGAGAAAATAAACAAATTAGGTCAAGTTAAAAGGACATATTCAAGGTCAAAATAACAATGATGATCACTACACCAATTAACAGAGGTAATAGTACATCTACCCTGACTGGTATCAAAACAAAATTTACCAAAGAAGGTTTAATGTGATGACGAATTGTTGCTTTGATCGCATAAAGGTGGTTTAAACTTTCTAATTACCAGCTAGGGCTTCCAAAAACTTTAGAATAGGCCCTCGCCCAAACACGTTTTATAGATAGATAGCTTTAAAATATCTGTTAGCGTCAATTTTATGTCCTGTCTCTATAATATCCTTCTAAATAGAAGAGCTAGGTCTCCTGTTCTCACCAATTAATGGTTTCTGAAGATTCCATTTGTTTCTGGAGCCATTTAGGAATATGCTGTGAAGCCAGCCCTTACTCACTTGCAGAGATCGATGAGTCCTCCCTATGTATGTGTGTCCACACTTACATTCAAATTGGTAAATGCAGTGTGATGTGACATCCTTTTTCGCATGTTCAAAGTGCTTAGATGGATGAATATATTGGCTTCACATTATCAATTATTATTATTGTGATATTAGCTGCATAAAAGTCTTTTTAACTGCAGCGTTCAGTCTTTGTTTAGTTATCAAGCTGGTATGATGCCCTATATAGGGTAGCTTGATGTACACGTCTTTCTTAGGGGCGATTTGTAGAGTGGGTCTTGGTGTTCCACTGACTACTTTATATCTTCTGATGAACTTGTCTGGATAATTGTTATCAACCAGAGTTTGTGTCAACTTTTCTTTCTTTGCTTATTATTACAATTATTACAATCCAACCAATGTGCACTGAAGACACACTTGATGATGAAGAAATAAAAAGCCAAGAGAGTTCAGGGGAAGAAGCACTCTTGGTGAGAAGAAGAATCATCAATCCAAATTTGGCCACTATAGAAACACCGTCTGGATGTGTTCTTTTCTTTGGATACAAAGTTCCGGTTTAGTCAATCTTATTGCAACAGCTTCAGATATGCACAGCAGACGATTACAGCACTTAATCATGAGCTGATATCAGTCAGAGGAACCATTAGATATTACCAGAGAGTACTGGACAGCTATTTCATACCACTCTGGAACCCTTCAGCAGTACGTATCCACTAGGGTTCGAACCCACAAGGGCAGCTCGTAGACCATTAAGCCATTGGAACCCAATCCAATGGCCAGCTAGCTCCATGAATTTCAACTTCTGTCAATTCCCGATATAGCGCAACCACCACCACCACGCAATGTCATC